GATACAGCTCGGTATCTACCATGAGTTAGAACACAAAGATATATGGGTATCAGTTTTAAGTGTTCTTTTTCTTAGAGATATCTAGGTAAGGTTTGGGTTAGAAATTTTGTTAATGTGTTAAGCATATATATAATGACACAAAGATATATTTTCATTGAGCATTTGTCAAACTTAAATCATATGCACACATATATATACCGATCAAATGAAACCTAATCCGCTTAGTTGAATAATTAGCAAGAAATAACAAACAAATCACTTAAATTTGTATTCAAAACCCTAAAACCCAAGAGAAAATGAACAAGGTTTCATTCATAAGCTTAGAATAGCGCAAGACTATATATATAGACAATAGTAACGAAACAAATACAACTTAAATTTTATAATTTTTTAGTTCTAAAATATTATTTTGCAGTGGACCGTACATTTAAATCAAACAAAATAATAGCGTATACATAGATCATCCTAAAAAAATTAATCTTTTATTTAATTAACATATAGGCTCGCGATGTACCGCAAGTTAATCTCTAACAAACATAAGGGATACACTTATATAAAAAATGAATTAATCTAATTATCTAACTAATAGAATCATATAAGATATATACATATCTCTAGAATATATTCATAATATCTTCTTGGATCATATGGATCTTCTAGATCCTTCTATAAGAACATGGATCTTTTTGTTTCTCTTTCTCTTGTTCTATGTTATTTTGGTTTAATTAATTTAATTAGTTATCTATATATACATTTTTGCAGCCATTTTGTGAAATAAATCCTGGAGTTGGAACTTATTTACAATGGCTGTCACCGGCTTATTCAATGCGAAAATTAACTACCAAATAAAAGCAAATCTTATTCAAAAGAATATGCTCTTATTCCATGGCCTAATTATTTTTGCCAAAATGGTTAAAAGATTGAAAAATTAAATAATCATTCGAAAGAAAACTTTAAATTGATTTAAATTATAAATATTTTAATAAAAATATTATTAAAAAAAATAAAAAAATAATTTCACCGAACATGATTAGATAGTAGGACTAGATGGTATGACGTGTTTACAATATTATAATATATAAACTTTATAACAATTAAAGAAATATTTGAAAGAAAACTTTTAAATTGATTTGAATTAAATATTTTTTAAATTAAAGTATTATTAAAACAAAATTCACAAAATAATGTCTAATTTTACTGAACAGGGTTAGTGGTAGGACGGGTTTGGTCGACAGTATTACGAGATGGTATACTACAAGTTAAATCCATTAGATATGTTTAATTTCACTGTGCATGATTAGATGGTATGACGGGTTTTGATCGATAATAATACAAAACGATATACTACGGATGAAATCCTAGATATAACAATTAAAATCTATATATACATTATCTTAAACACTAAACAAAGCAAACAATATTAATAAAACAAATATCTACATATACTTTTTATATAACAAATTTTATTAAAAATCTAGCCCCGCGGTATACCGCGGGTCAAAATCTAGTTAGTTATTATAGCAACTGATAAAAAAGATATAAATTAGATGCCGATTATGTATGATTCAGAAATGTCATCAGATTTGTTACAGCATGCATATAACCTTTTTAAAAGCCAAAATATTTAGGCACATAGAAATTGTATTAGTTAGATTAACGCGTGTTAAAATAAATGAAATTTTAATACATATTAATTTTTGTTTTGCTATCTTGATTTATTATTTATTGCAAATTATGAGAACTGTTACACAAATGATTCTACCACAAACAATTCTTTTTTATGATTTACTATCAAAATATTATATTAAAGTTGAATGTATAGATAAAAAATTTGGAGAAATTGTTTCTCTCGACTCTTTTATTATTTACATATATTATCTTATAAATCCAAATATATATATTTATAAATATAAGAGAAAAACATGTTCTCTAGAAACAGGAATTAAACCAACATAATGAAACGACAACAAACTGGACTCGATCAGACAAACCCGGTATAGATGCATATCCGAGAAATGAAGTTGTGAAGATTCGCTCCATCAATTAAGCAACATGTTTGAAATTTAGTCTAGTATGACGAAGATCCCACCAAAATGCAATAGTATCGCCTGCTTTGTAATGTTTTCTTTTTAGAATATCATTCCATCCATGAAATTTAAAATTATTTCCATCTTGTCTTATGATTACATATGTTGTAATTTGAGTATCAATATCATACACTCCAATCATCTTTGGCTTGTCTTGAACTTGTAACAACTGGACGAGAGTACTTATCTCCATGAAAGGAAATAAATTGGTTTCTAGTAACGCTTTTGGCATCATTATCGTAGTACTCCTATCGACGTCAAATGGTGACAACGTTATCATGATGTTATATGGGTTGTTTGAGTCATACTGCTTATCTGGAAAATTCGCCATGAGTTAGAACAGAAAGATATATGAAAAATCGGGTTTCAATGTTCCTTACTCCGTAAAGGCTTATGCAAGGTTTGTATAAAAATATTTGTTTGTGTTAAGGGTATATATAGTGACAATAAGTTGTACTTATGTACGTGGTTAATTGTAATTAAGAGCTTATACCAATAGAGAGATACTATGTTTTCAAGTTAGATTAAAATTAATTAATTGAATATGTTTTGTCTTACCCAAATAACACTAATTTTGTTTGATACATAGTTTCATAATATTATGACATATATAGTTTTGTAGTTATTGAATTCTAACACGTGTTAAAGTGAAATAAATTTTGACAGGCTGACTTAACATCAAAAAGTTTTGAAGTAAATGTCATTTAAGTATTTGACATTTTTTTGGCTCATGTAGTTGTGAGCTTGCAAATTTAACTCTATAAGATTCTGTAAGATTTTTTTTTTACTTAAGACAATAAATAGTTTTTCTTTTTGACCAAACTATTGTGGCACATAAACTTTAATTACATTCATTAGAAATATGGGTAATATGTTAATCAGTCAATTATATGTTAGAATATATATACACAATATTTTCATGAGTATAATAGATTCATTATTAATTGAACATGTTTTCTCTTTCAACAAAAGTAATAGTTAAGTTTTAGGGGATATTATTGGTTTATGATTTCAAAGGAGTTTTATTGACTTAAAATGTCATGTAAAATATGTTGTTATTCAATCAAGATAATATAAAACTATGTTAATGTTTTGTGTTATTCATTTAAGATTTGTAAAAAGTAATCTAAAATCTTCATAAATTTGGGGTTATTGGATTCATATTCTTATAAAGTCAGTCAGAGTTTTGTGGTATTCAATTAAAACAAAAGAATCTCTTATTGTTAATGATTTAAATTATTATGTTATTGGTTCATGACTTTCTATATTTTTGTTTACAAAATAAAATCATAAAAAGTAATAAAAATATTATCAAAATAGAGATTGTTTAAGAAACTTTACAAGATTATGAAAAAACTCTATAAGAATAGTTTAAATTCTTTCATTTATTTATTTTCTAGGATTTGATTGAAGTCATCAATATTCTTTGTAAACTAAGAACCAATAACACCCCCTTAATATTTCATAATATTTTGACAAATATAGATTTATAAATAACTTGATTGAAACATATGTTATAGTACATGACATATTTTGATTTCACACAAAATAAACAATTAAAGTAAATCTGAAACTACGCCCAGAATATGTTGGTTATGTATTTGGACGTATATTAATTACTTGATTCTTTCCAAAATATCTTCCTTCTTAAGAATTTTGTTCTCTATTTATAATTTTGTTGGTGCAAATATGTAATTATATAAGATACCATTATATATTTTATGAATTTTCTTAGATTTGTTACTCGTCTAGTATGTTATATAATTTTTAATTTTAGCAAAAATTTATCTGGCACCTAAATTTTGTATACTGTTAGATTAAGACAGGTAAACAAATAAAATAATTCTTTTTATATGCTGAACACCATAAGAAAATAAAATAAAATCAAAAAATTATCAATTACTTAATATTTCATCTTAAATATCTCACATCGAAAATAGCAATGGTTTTTTTAATCAAAATTTGTCCTAATGGATTAAACATCATAAACACAATTCGGTTGGTTCCTCAAGCACACCATCCCTCCATTTTGCGGAGTTCAAGTCCTCTTCAAATGCAGTTTTTCCACAAAGTTATCTTTGCAGTTGTTTTTTTCTACCATATCCTCAATTTTTCTGTTGCTTTATTTGCATCTCCCAATGAAAGAGTGGCTCTAGTATACAATTTGTTGATGTGGCGATTGTCTAGTCCTTAAGTGTATTTGGGTTGGAATCCTGTTAAGGTAAAAGAGAAATATCAAGTGAGTATAGTTTCAAGATTTATTTGATGTCTTGTAATCACATTTTTACCATGTAATAATGAGAAATGTTTATTTTCGCAATATAAGAGAAGAAACAGAGAACAAAGGCATATATTTATGAAACTACACATTTAGTTCTAGAGTAGCATATTTATGCTTCATGATATATAACCTTATTTTTACTAATTTTAACTATGTTTTAGATATAAGTTTTTGAGTCTTTTTGTTATTTTTAGAGTCTTTTCATGTATTTTATGGAGAGGGACAACAATGGAGATGAGAAGACATTTTGGAGCAAAAGCTGAAGAAAAGAAGCTTTCTAGAGGAACAACTATGAGCTGAAGCCTCGCTACCGATCAACGATCATACCCAGACCTTTCTAGAGGAACAACTATGAGCTGAAGCCTGGCTACTTTGCACTGGTAGGCAAGCACCCTTTCCATGGCTTATCTCACGAGCAGCCAATGGACCACATCGAGCATTTTGATGACCTCGTACTAAACATTAAGGCTAATGGAGTCTCTGAGGACTACTTACTGTGCAAGCTTTTCCCTTACTCACTTGCTAGGGAAGCTGTTTCTTGGTTGAAGCAATTAAAGGCTAGTTCACTCACTATTTTAAGAAGCATCAAGAAAGCCTTCCTGAACAACTTCTATGATGATGCTAAGTTTGAGAAGGTGCGGAACAAAATGTCTACCTTCACACAAAGTCAAAGAAGCATGGGTTCGCTTCAAGGAATATCAACGGGACTGCCCGCATCATGGCTTCAGCAAGGTACAACTTCTAGGTACCTTCTTTAAAGGAGTTGATTGAAGATACCATATGGCTCTAGATTCAGCGCGCAATGGTAACTTCAATACCAGGTATCCGACAGATGCTACATCATTGATTGAGAACCTTGCGTGCAAGAAGAGTACAAAGAACGCTGACTTTGAGAGGAAAAAGATTGCAGGAGCTGTTTCAAGGAATCAGATGGTTGAGGTACATGCTAAGCTGGATTCAGTTCATAACTTGCTTATAGGGAAGAAGCATGTACACTTTGCAGCTTAAGAAGAGACTATCGAGCCTGAGCTAGATTCAGAAGAAGGAGTCTTCTACATTGATGGTCAAGGTTACAGGAAGTTAGGACAACCACATGGCAACTTTAGTGGCAACATGTTTACAGGGAACCAGAGTTCTTCAGGCTTCACTCCAAAACCTTCCTTCTAGAAGACCTTTCCTTAGAAGAACTTCTAGAGTATTTATGGTAATTCATCTTACCAAAACTCCCCTCCACTCTCAGCTGAGAATAAGATGGAATCAATGCTTGAACAGATTCTTGAGGGTCAGTCCAACTTAGTTATGGACTTTGATGGCAAGTTTGATGCTATCTACACATATCTTAATGGGAAGATCCAAAATCTGAGATTTCTCATGAATAAGCTAGATGTTCAAATACCTCAAACTGCATAATCCATTAAGAGACAAGAAGCTCCACGATCTTGGTAGCTTTGTTCTTGACTACTCCATATCTACTAGCAGATTCAGCCACTCCTTGTGCGATCTGGGATCAAGCATTAACCTCATGCCCAAGTTTGTTGTTGAGAGACTAGGCATGACCATCTACAAGCATACAAGGATTACTCTCCTCTTTTCAGATCGTTCCAAACAAATCCATGAAGGTATCCTCGAGGATGTCCCTGTGAAAGTTGGTAACTGCCTCATCCTTGTTGTTTCGTGGTCTTGGCATATGATGAAGAACTTAAGGATCCTCTCATCCTTGGTAGAGCTTTCCTAGCTACAGCTGGTGCTAGGATTGAGGTGAAGAAGGGTAGGATATCTCTCCACATATGTGATAAGGAGATGGAGTTGGGTATGGATGGTTCAGAATTCACATCGCCTATCAGTAGCATTGCCACCAACAAGGACAAGTCTTCTCTGGCTGCTCAGACTTCACTTTTAGAGCCAACAACAGAGACCCCTACAGCTTAGCCCGCATATGAGATTTGTAGAGAACCAGTGTCAATCGACACCACACCCCTTGTCGATTGACACCATCGCGATAGATGCTTCTGCACCTCCTTTAGAGCCCACACCTATTTCTGTTCCTTGTGATAGGTACTACACTATCTCTTCTCTTACTGTTCCTTTGATTATTTCTTTATATTCTTCGAAGTGTGCTTCACCGGTAAACGAGCATCGAGTTTCCCGAAAGCTAGTTTTTTCTGTTGATCTTGCAGGAAACGGAGAGAGTATCGAATCGACACAAACAACTGTGTCGATTAACACCAACTGCTGCACAAGGCCGATCTGTTTACATACCGCCTTGGAAGGCGCGAATGCAACACAAGTCCTCCACCCCTCCATCCAAGTCCTGAACTCCTCCAAGTGAACCTATTGACTCTAATTAAGCGCTTAGTGAGAGGGAACCCATTGGTATGATTTTTTTTTCTTTTTATTTCTTTTATTTTTGGTTTATGTTTTCTTCTCTCTTCGGATTTGAATGCCATTGGGGACAATGATATTTAAGTCTGGGAGAGGCGCTTATTAACTATGCTTTTATTTTTGATTCTTATTATTTTTTGTGTTTAGAGTTATGAGTCATTTTATTTTGTTTTCTAAAAAAACATTTTTGTTTAGTCTAATTAGAAATCATGATCTATATTTCTTTAGATTATTTTCTGGTTGATGAATGCAGAAGGGTCAACTCAATCCGACTATTGGAAAATCCAGATAGCAAACCGACAAAGTTGAGGATATCCTGGTTTCCAACACAATCCATTACGGGTGGATCTAATCACACTGCTCTTCCATTTACCTCATCATAACGGTTAGTATTCATAGAACTTGACGTTTTGTTCATACCTGTTATTGAGACCTATGTGAAAAAGGAAAGTATTCCTCTCCCCTTATAAAAAAAAAAAAAAAAAGAGATTGATATGATTTTCGGTAGTGTATAACGGTAGGAATGTTTTCCATGAACCAATTATTATACATTATTAGGAATGATCAATTACAACGGTTGGAAATATGGAAATATGTCAACGGTGTCAATAAGTCTGGGACGAGAAACAATACCAGAAAAATATAAAGAACGGTCGATTTATCATGGTATATTACAGGAATGAGTCTAGAAGGTTCTTGAATATTAGCTTGCTTGATGAGACTCAGCGATGAAAGCAAGGTGGATATAGTTGTGGAACTTAGGTATGGAATCTAGAATGTTGTGTAAACTTGTAGAGAAGTACATGTTGGTTAGGATTTGATTAGAATTACTAGGCATATGAATTTGGTTAGAATGATCATGGCAATAGACTATGTTGGGGGTTTCTTTGTTTTTAGAACCTCTTCCACGGGTTCGGCTTTTGTGTTTTGTTTGAGGGCAAGCAAAAGCTAAGTCTGGGGAGTTGAGATAACCCTATTTTTACTGTTTTAACTATGTTTTAGATATAGGTTTTTGAGTCTTTTTGTTATTTCTAGAGTCTTTTCAGGTATTCTATTGAGAGGGACAACAATGAAGATGAGAAGACATTTTGGAGCGAAAGATGAAGAAAAGAAGCTTAAGGACGAATTCACTTTCAAATCCAGTCGAGAGTATCGATCAACACACTCTTGGTGTCGATCAACACCAGTTGCGGCCCAGAGAAGTCCATGATGCTTTTAAGTTTGAAGAATTGAAAATTTGACCCAGAAGACTTCCCTATTTTTGTTATTAGTCCCTGCACATTTTTAAGGTCATATATATAGTTTTAAAAGTCATTGTTTAGACATATCAAGCTTTTTATCAAGCTTTCTATCAAGCTTTTTATCAAGTTTCCTAGCAACCAAGCTATTCATCCCATGTTTTCAGAGTTTCATCAGATTTTCAATAACTGTGAAGAGATCTTTTCTAACTCTTTTCTCTACTGATTTGTTTATGCTTTCTTACTCATATATGTTGTGTATTTCATCCATCATGTCTGAGCAGTATGCTTGTTAGGGATAGGGTTTCTCACTAGGGATTCATATGATTTAGTAGATCGCCCCCTTTGCTTGGTTATTTGTAGGATTCTTCATCTTTACTTGTTCTTAATGCTAGTTCTAGAGTAATTAACTAGAACTTGATTCCAGATAATAGATATACCCACCATAGGTATCTGTTACCAGAACTACTATTTGAAGAGGCTGGTTTATAGGTGTGTAATAAGAATCGGCCTATCTACTAAGGTGAACTTATCAAACTCGGTTAGCATGCATGTTTAGGTATAGGATTTCACGGCACATCACCGGAAATCTTAGCTCTAGGAATAGTGAGTTTCATGGAACATCACCGGTTATTCTGATATTAGAGTTTGAGTTTAAGAACGGTTGGATAACAACCTAATGATATCTAGACCTACTAATCATTGTTTCCTGAAAATACTCTAAACTTCACAACCAACAAACCTGCTTTTTGCTTACTTTACTTTCTTTTTATTTTTTCTTACACTCTTCTAGCTTAATCTTGATACTTAGCTCATTGTGTGAACAAAAGAACTTTGTGGAATCCGACCTTTAAATATTGCACTCAATCTGTTATTTGAGAGAGAGGTTTTAAGGCAATTTGAACTATATCACTTCACATGAATCAGAAACGAAAGTGCTTAAACAAAACATAATAATCACTTTGTGGCTTTTTAAACAAATTAATATTTGTTACAGAGTCTTAGATTGATTGATATAACGTTAGGGGATCACCAATACGGAAGTAGAGTCATATTGTAGGCGCAAGAACCATGAGAATTGTAAAGAAATCGATGTTTGTAAAAATTAGTTTTGTCATGCTTAACGGTCTAAATCAAATGACACATACCATGACTATAGCGATTCTGAACCGTTTTAGAAATAGCCTGGGTAGAATCGTACAGCAGACAAGTACTTCGCACGGGCCGATCCAGGTTTAAGCACCAAACTCGTCCCTCTAACCTGCCCACGCATAGTACCGTCCCTCCAAATCCCAATATCCGGCTTGCCAACCTTTTACCGGGAAAGGGAGTTATGCGGTTCAGACAAAACCTTATATCATCAACCATCCCCATTTGTTTTTAGAAAACCTTTTTATACATAGTATAATATGATAAAAATCGCACAAACAATCATATAAGGTTTCCGGGGATCCCGTTTCACAATACATAATACACAATAGTAGTCTTTACATTTATACCCAACAATCTACACCAAGAACCTATTGTCCCAACGACCCTCTATGGTTTTTCCCCCTAAGGTCACCTGCAACAGAAATGGTGGAATCATGAATATAAGTACTCAATGAGTTCGGCGCCTAATCTCAGAAGCTAAACAACCCAACCCATAACAATAAACGTTAGTCAAGCAACAAGCAACAAACAATCAATATGCAATAATAATGCAATATAATGGATGCACGGGTAAATGATAACAATGCAATCATATGGCCATGTGAACGATCCTTCCCATCAAACCAAGTGAACAATCCGCTATTAGCCACCAAGTCTACAAGCGATGTACCACATGGGACTACCACAACATGTATCCTCGTTGCATCGTCATGCAACACTCGGCCCCTTGGGAGCGACCTAGTCTCGCTGAGTCGAACAAAACAGGGAAGCGCACTCGAACACCACAAACTCTATATGCATTTAACTAAGCTACGACAAAAGTGTACTTGAAGCATCAAGCATACATGACGTAAATGATAATTCTTATTAATTCTATGATCAATCAACAACAACATCAACAAGCACATAATCATCAAAGCAAGCACATAAGGTAACTCATGTGCCACCACACA